TAAGAGGCAGGCCCAGAGAGGGTCAGCCCTAAGTCAGGTGCTAGGTACCTCAGCCTGATGGAGTTGTCCACTCACCACACACCCCCAGTGATGGACTGGCCTTCTGGCCTGAGCCCTGGAGGAGAGGCCCAGGAGACCTGGGGTCCAGCTTGAGCCCTGGTCCCCGGGGAAAGGCACTAGCTGAGACCACTGTCCTGCCCCTCATGGAGCAGGGAGGGGAGGCTCACCACCAGGCAAGAGTTTCCCCCTGGCCCACCTGGTGTGCCACAGTCTGAGTCTGGGTGAGCAGGACAGGGGCAGTGAAATCACCCTGGGGTGGGTGGAGGAGGGAGGCGTCTGGCCTGGGAGGGCCAGGGTTTGTCGGGGCAGCTGCCTCCCCTGAAGTGCCACCGCACCAGGGAGAGCACTGACACAGGCCTCTTTGTTTCCCAGCCACATGGGAGTGCTCCGCGATGGCCGAGCTCCGCAGTGCAGGCTCCTGCACAGCCTGGGCTTTGTCGCCCTCTCGTGGCCGGAGCGGGTCTCGGCGGCGTCGTCGGGGAAATCTCGGAAACCCAGCGGGACCGGGTAGACTGAATGGGTCCCCGGAGGGTGTGGAGGCTGAATCCCTGGGATGCCCCTCGCTCCATTGCTGGGACCCCAGGTCCGGATAACAGGCAGAGGCATTTTCTGGGGCGGCCCGGGTCGGAGGGGCGCCTGTGCCGCTCCTGCAGGGGTAAAGAGCAGCAGAGCCAGCTGGCTTGGGTTGGGGCGCGGACCCCCATGGGAGTCGTCGCCAGCTGGCTTTTCTGTATTGATTACTTTTAGTGTGAGCAGCACTCCTCCATGCTTCCTGCTGAGTACCAGGGGCAGATCCCCTCCCGCTCTGGGCCTCAGTTTCCCTATCTGCAGCATGAAAGGCCCTAGCTTGTAGGAGGGGCCGTGGGGGTGTGGACTCGCACCACGGGGGAGGAAGAGTCACCGGCTACTAGTCACTACTAGTCATTGGCTGCTGTGTTCTCCTGCAGCTGGTCGCTGTGGGCAGGTCACCCCTCCTTCCCTGTCCCTCACTTCTACCTTCTCGGGAAACAGACTAGGTGAGAATCAAATGCAGAAAGCCAAGGGCTGGAAGAGTCCAGGGGTGTTCTTTCCACACTCCCCTCAATTCATCTGAGTTTGGGGGCGCTGCGGGGGTTGGGCTGGGGCGGGGCGGTATGAGGGGGGGGGGCGCATCTGTCAGGAGATCTGAGGAAGACCAGCTCCAACTTTTACTTCCCACGGGGTGGTTGCAGTCCCATGCTTGACCTTGTGGACTCTCAGGGACTCCTCTGTAAGGAAGGCTGAAGCCACTCACAATGGGTTGCTGAGAGGATTAGTAATTAGCACGGGGCCACCAACTATTCAAAACTTCACCTTGATACTCAAGGTTAAACTCCCAGGTAATGTTTGCTGAGGAGAAATTTCAAGCTTCCTGGCTTGAGGACAATAATTAATGGCTGGGGAACCCAGGCACCTGGGGGCTGAGTGAAGTGAAGTGTCCAGGTGTCATTTCAGGGAGGAAGAGGGGCACCCGAGTGTGATCACAGCAGTGGCCCTGGACATAGAATGATAAACCTAGTTCTGAATTTGGTATTTAGCCCCTGCACACCCTTGAGCTTTTACTACATAAGCATGCATCCCTATGTAAGACATAAGGTATGTTTTTGTTTATTCCCAAACTTAAAATAAAGGCTTTATAGTCTAGGGGTGCCTGGCTCAGTTGGTTGAGCATCAGGACTATTGAGTTTGGCTCGGTCATGATTACAGGGTCGTGGAATTGAGCCCCGTGACGGGCTCAGTGCTGAGTGTGGAGCCTGCTTGGGATTCTTTCTCTCTTTCTCTCCCCCTGTCCCTTGCTGATGGGCTCTCTCTCTGAAATAAAACTATAAGAAAGGGAGGAAGGAAGGAAGGAAGGAAGGAAGGAAGGAAGGAAGGAAGGAAAAGAAAGAAAAAACAGAGGAAGAAAGAAAAAGAAAGAAAGAGAAAGGAAAAAAGAAAGAAAAAGGAAGAAAGGAAGAAAGAAAGAAAGGCTTTATAGTCTATGCAATTTTCTGCAACTTTGTTCAGGCGGTGTTAGACACTCACCGAACTTTATGTTAATGCTGTTCCTCTAGTTTGTCACTTTCCACTGATGAAGGCATTCTGGTGTAAACCACAATTTATTTCTCTGTTTTCCTGATGATTGACATTGGGTTGTTCAGTTTTCCATTATTAAAAACAATGCTGTATTTGTGAACAGATGTTCTTTTTTTTTTTTTTTTTTTT